CGTTGGGAGCTTCTTGCGGAATGAAATTTATTCGTAGCTGACATAAGTAGAAGTTATTCAAGAATTACCCAACTGCAATCGGCGACTGCGCTTTTGCATTCGTAGCAGACAAAGCAACATCCGTTCTCGCTGACACAGCGCTTATGCGGCTGCCGCTACTTTATATCCGCGATCTAAACAAAAGCTAAAAATAAGAGACATTGACGATGTCACGTGAAAAAGGATCGTCTGCGGATATTTAAAAAAGTTCTAGGATGTTTACTAGTAACGTACTGAACAAAATTCGAGGATGCGAAATGAAAACAAGAAATTCTCCCTCTTTCTGGTCATGAAATGATGTTACTATGCGCGATTCTCATCGGTGGTATATTAGAAAATACGTGTGCTTCGCACTAACATATCTAATAATATCGCTCGTATGGCCCTGTAACTTACTTAAGCAGGTCAATCCTGGCACAGTGTCAATTGTGACACACAAAATGCATGCTCTTGTCCGCGAGGACCCATGTTAATTTCAGCTGCGTAGCTATTCATTCACATTCGCAATGCTTCGATCTGACGTTCTAATGTTATTTTAATCCCTGAAGAAAGAGATCAACAAATAACGCGGCAGAGATAAGTATAAGAAACGATCAAGGGAATGAAAGGACTATGTCACGATGCAAAGAATTGGAGTGTAATGGAATTGAAAGTGTCTCATGTTGTCAACGTGGAGCGAATATTCTATAATCCGAATTTATGAGTGTTATCCGAATGTTTACATACCAATATTATTAATCTTCCATGTGTATATATTATTACTTCCTTCGTGTCCAGCTCAACTTTGATAATTTATTTCTAGGTTTTTAAAAAATATGGAAAAATTCAAGGTTGCTTTTTAACATCTTTGTTACATTACCAAATAGTTTTTTTAACAAGATATTTTAGGAGTGGGAAAGGAATTCCGTTCTCCTTTAGTTCGGAGAATTGAGTATGAAATTTCGCTTGTGCCAAAAAGATATTACTAGTGCAATATTGTACGTTTTGTATGTTTAACTGAATACAATATGCGACCTCAATCTTTTACACAATTTGAAAATTTCTGTTAACTTATCTAAAGTACTCCGCTTTACTCTAAGCTAGATCAGAATTAGTTATAAGATCCTAATTATACTTAATGTCCAGGCAATATAAGGGGCACTTAAGTATTCGAATATTTGGAAATAAGTGTCTGAATAGCGCTGTGGCTTACAAATTTCTTTTAGTTACACGAATTAAAAAGAATATATACATGAAAGAAATAACGCGCAAAGTTGCTCTCTAATTTTGACTGCGCAACTATATTCGCATTGCGTTTCACGGCCAGTGGCATCATTAGCATTGTTTGAATATGTCGCAAATTCATTTACGCCTAATACAAACTATTACTATCATATAGGTATATCACTGATTTACGTTATGAAGAAGAAGTAATATTCCGCTTGTGTAGTCGTGATTTAATATCAAATGCTAATTTATCTAACAAGATGATAACAAAAAAATCAATTTAAGATTTTAGCCTGCTGATAAATGTAAGGTTGAGTGTTTTGCGCGAGGCAGCGTTGCGATTTCTCCAAGTTTAATTAAAATAATTTACCGTTTTCTATACTGTCGCGACGAATGCAGATTAGAACCTTCGAATCGTCACTTCCGAGAAGCATCGTCAATGGTATTCATAAGGACACTAAGCGACAATGATATATTGTCCTTCGGCGCGGACACGCGAGCAAAATGAGAATCATTGAATTCGACATGACATTACATATAATGACATCACAATATAAAAAAATGCATAAAAATGCATTCCATCTCTCTTAGCGATGATACGTTCTGTTCTTCACTTTTTACAGCAAGGTACGTTAATAGTGAAGCAGATTGCATCTAAAAATACGCGTGTCCGTTATAGTAATTCTAATCGCGATGACAGAGAGCACAGTCGTTGCATTTTGAAAAAGTTCACAAACATTGATATTTAATCGTTCATATGAAACAAAAGACATAAATTTCTCGTTGCTTGTGTGACATAATATTGAAGAAATCGTAATTTAAAATACAATTTCTCTCATAAAATATTATAAAATAGAAGTACTTACAAATAATGAAGAATAATATTATGAGATATACAACTTACAATTATTGTAAGAGTCTTTTTTTAATTTTTGTTATTTCTATGTAAATCTAAATGGAAAGAATAATTTTACTAAAGTCTAAAAATTAAGGTAGACACGTCTAAAAATAATTTTGCTAAGCCATCAAAATAATTATGTTGAATGCTTAAACGTTGATGATAATGCGAAAAGTTTAAGTATTCTCTACCGATCAGTTTAAACTTCCTTCACAAATAATTATTTTGATGGTTCAAACAACATTATTTTCAAATGTTGTATCTAGCAAAATTTTAGACGTTTTAGTAAAACCATTCTTTCCATCTACTAGTATTCTACATAAAAAATTTTTATAATACGAGTCCAAGATATGTTTTTCTAAATTAATATTAAAAATTTAATTTCATTACATAGATCCTAGCTTTCCACTCTTTAATTATCACGCATTTTATTTAGCACAGTATATTATGTAATACAAAGAAAAGAAGTAAACCATAGCACACGCATACAACGAAGCCAAGAGATGCTCATTAGGGCTTCCGGAGTCCTCTCGGACACGTGCTAAAACGCATAGACATTCAAGAGTTGTAATACGATTCTCCTCTCGTCTGAAAACTGAACGTACCTTCGCATCCGCTTTAACGCAGCAAACCGGAACAGCAGAGAGTGTATGAGAGAGGAAGAGCAGGATATTCACTGAAATTCGCGCGCGGTCACACTATTGGTGCACTATTCGCGTTCGTCACGTTTTGTCGTGTGAGAAGAAACTCGTCGCAAGTACCAGACTGCAGGTGAGAGAAGTCGATCAGGTCGATCACACGTACAGCTGACGAAATCAACTTGTCCCTTCACGAAAGAAGATACGAAAAACGTGGACCTCACGATGGTGCCGCGTTATGTACGTGACTGGCTGACTGCTCGCGCGAGTAGTATTTGCACGAGTCTGAGTCTCTGTTTCCCTCTCCTGTTCGCCAAATCAGGGCCGAACTCGCGTATAAGCCAAGCGAGTCGCAAGGCACAGCAAGGCACGGACTCGCGCTCGCATTACGAACGGCCTCGCGTTATAAGTATACCTCAAAAAGTCTCGCACACGACTTTTTTGACTCGAGATATCCTCAATTTGCGATCTGTCCATCTCTCGATGAAAAAATGAGACGTTGTAACAGTTTTTAAGGGCAGTAACTCCAGTTAACAAACGGTTAACTCCGCACCGGATTCCGCTCGACTGTCAGTCTTGTCCTGTGTCTCTTTCATTCCCGCCGGCCAGATGTGGTTTAGCTATATTTTCTTTCTCTTCTCGGAGGATAGATATATTCGTTACGACGCTTTACAGGAAAAGGCGTTAATTGTCACTAAGCAAAGATTTCTATACATTCTGTGCTCTTTCAAAATCTAATGATGAGAGCATACAAGGTCAAGTCTTAAATGTTTCGACTTTTGTAAATGTAAAAAATCAATAATCAGTCTTAATGAATTTTTAAATTGACACGTTGAACGTATTGACAAACGCTTATTTAATTTAAGTGAAATTGTTTTAGTATAATTGTTCAAGTTTTAACAATGAATTTTTACCATCATCAAAGTTGAATTGTGTAATTGTTCACTGATTTTATCAATGATGTCTTTAAAGATCCCAATTGACGTAAAGGATTGATAATTAAGCGATAATACAATCTCAAGGAGAGATTGAAAATGCAAAACTCATAAAATGATAGAAAAAATCCCTCCGCAAAATATATTCAAGAAAAATGAAGAGAGGATATTGTATTTAAAAGAAAAAAATCAATTGATTTTTTATACAAAACTTTTCGCAATTATCAAGACAAAAGAATAAAAAAATTATTGTGAGTTCAACGTACTGATAACAAAAAGACTGCGATCTGATTATTTCAAAATACCCGCTATTTCAGAAAACAGAAAAAAAGTAAAATCGACAAGCATCTCGTGGTAAAAATTAACGAGAGATAAAGAAAATTTCCTGACTCTAATTCTGTCCTCGATGAGCAAAACCTCACGCATTCGGGTATCGTTCATGATCTATACTGAACGGCGACGTCGGCGACCCGGAATGAACTGGTTTTTATGTATCAAGGTGTACGTGAGTATCATAGTCGACTGCTGTCAAGTGTGTAGTTATCGCGAAGCCGTACGAAGTTCGACGGAGAAACGCGAAAATTATTGAGCACGTGCAGCTCATTCACTTTTGCATTTGAAGAAATATACAGAGGAGACTTTCAACCTTTAGTTATTTTTGCGTCAGATTTGAGATACTATTTATGCGTCCGCGGTGACAGGCTCCTATATATATGTCAGCAAAAAATCGCATCAACTGTCTCATTAATAAGCCACTGAGCGGCCTGAGTCGCGATCGAAGTTATTAATCAACTCGTCGATTTGCATTATTAAACCGAGCGGACATAATGTTTATAGTGCCTACTTATTTAAATTAGCTTTGCGAATAGGGTTCTCAGCTGTACTAGGTATTTTAAGAGTATATTTAGTCTTGTTAAGATCGTAAAACTTCTGGTCATTAATTAAAATTTTATATAAAAAATTATATTAATAAGAATTGTCAATACAGAAATTATGTTCTAAAACATAGATGATTTCATATTTATCTCATATTTCACGCGGTTCTAGTTTTTTAAATGTAAATTATTAAAAAAATGGAGTTTTTATCTTCATGTCATATAAAGTAATAATTATTGATCATTTTTTACTATATTTTATCTATGATTTTTGCGTTTCGAGTATCCTTAGCGGAAGTGTATAGCGCAAAATATGGCAATTAAGTTGCCTAGAGACTCCCGATGAATAAATCGCTACCTATTAATCAATCGATCGACTACTTAATTGAGAATAAGACCTTGTACATACCGTAACCTTGGATTTCTTTCTGTGTCCCCAACCTTGACGCCCACACGCAAACAGCTGCAGCGAAAATTAACTTTCTTTACAATAACTCAACTTGACTCGAATTCATAATCGTACAATGTAAAGTCCACGCACTCAACTTTCACACAAGAACACCCAGTTCTTAAAACTTCGCGCACCGGAACAAGTCCGAAGTTAAACTTCGTTCTTGCAGATTTTCTGCCTACTATAACATACACGATATATATCAGTATATAGTAATAGTTCTGCAAGTTACTCGGGAGAAAGCGTGATTCTCTATATGAAGATATATTCTATGTATATATTTTCAACATAAAGATTTCATCTTGAATTATTTTTCATTTGATATTCCTCTCTTTGTCTCGACATGACAAGTGCGGTTTCCCAAGAATCGGTTGGCATACGATAACGAAGACGTGTCAGCGAGATGGCGAAGAAATGCAAAGAAACCCGTAGACGTGTGAAATTTAATTCGAAGATAGCGCACGATGTTATATGACAATACGACACGCGCGAGTTATAAAGAGATGTCTGCGCGTCGACGTTCGATCGTGAACTAACCCACTCATGGGAACGTCATTCGCCTTATAAGTGCCTCTTATAATCGTCGGCGTACTTGTCGGTAATTATCACGTGACCGCAAATATTTTTCACTTCGACAATCGAAGTTGCCTCCAACGTAGATCCGTCGCGAAACACGCGTTGTTACGCTGCCGTGTTATGTAAACGTGCGTATTAACGCACTCGCGACTTGCCTAATGAGAAGAAATAGATTAGTCGAGCTCGAGGTTTTATTGGCGATAAACTACTGCAATTAATTCGCGTACCTATTCTAGACGCAATCTATTTGAGTGAGTGCATCGTCCGATTTCCCGAATTTCGACCTTCGTAATTCGTGATCAAATTATAATCGCAGAAGTGTCAATCAAACGTAACATTAATGCGAGATACCGTTTGCGTGCAATGATGATGATAAAATGATGAAATATCGGCTACAAATACTGTTTCATTTTTATTTTTACTTAAGAACCTTCCTAGTTTTTTTTCATTAATTAGAAATATCAGTCACGAAATAAACTCAGCATCGTCATGGAATATTATATAATTTATATTACGTGATATTAAGAGAGCTAATAATAAAAAAATCGAGACATCACACGAGACACGTACTGCGTTACGTGCCTTGATTATGAGAAGCTCGAGCAGTCGAATCAGGTGGAAGGTGTCACACAATTCGTTCACACGATATGTATTTTTTAAAGAAAATGCACGCATCCGAAGTAAAATCTGCTCGGATAGTATGTCACGCGACATGTATCCGCGGCGTGAATGCCCCGCTTACGCACGTGTCTGATACGTTAAGTGTTGCTCACATCTTTATCGACTGTAAAAACACATATCAGCTATAACATGTTAAATCCGATGCGACACGACGAATTTACTTGTATTTCCTGACATTTTTTTACGAAAAAAAAGAGATGTAACGTTCGTATCAATAGAATTTTGGAAAAATGATAACTATGATATTACTTCCTCACAAATTCAGTGATTCGTAAAAGATTGCGCTACTCTTCAAAAATTCTTGATGACGGGAATTAATTAAATAATAAATTTTTCGACAATTATTTCTTTTCCTCTGCAAGTGAATCTTAGCGCTCTTTTCAAGTATAATATAAATCTTTCAATTATTCATTCACTAGTATAACATTTTTATGAAAAAAAAGTAATATTTATCTTAACTGCAAACAATTGCATAAAATTAAAAAAGAATTCCGAAAATGGTAGCTACATAATGTAATATTACTTTCTCACGGATTCAGTGATTTCTAAAAGATTACGCTTGGAATAAAAATTATTGATGACGATAATCGAACAATAGATTTTTAGACGATTCATATTCTTACAATCTTTGTATTTCCCGCAAATCTTAGCGCTCTTTCAGATACAATTTTTCCGATTATTCGCCGGTATTTTTATTTTGACGGATGTAACCGGTGATTCAGGTATTTCAGCGCGACGGAATAGAACCTCGCGAGATGATTTCTGAGAAATGCATGAAATAAGCTGTGGGTGTGTTTCAAATTGTCGTTTGGATCGAGTCATTGGAAAATTTTCCTCTCATAAATGTTCCGCGATTAAACGTACGTTCGGGTCATCAGAGAATTACTTCGTCTCATTCGAGACCGACAACAAGGCGCGTACATCAATCTATACGAGTTTACATGCATATACGCGCACTGGTGCATGTATAAAACTCCAGCCGAGCATGATTAGCTCAATCAATTACGCGGTTCAATTGCAAATGGTAGGATAATGAACCGCTACATCGGTCTCGACAAATAATCTTTCGGGAGTCTGTTTAAACCAATAAATGTACATATACATTCAAGAAAATCGTATGCTAATAATACACTTATACTTTTTATGGTCCTACCCTAATTACTTTTCGATAAAATATAGTAGCTTTGCATATATTATTTTATGTATTAATTAATTTTCTACCAGAACGAAAATTCTTTTATATTTAAATTCGAGATCAATACAAATCCAAGACTGATAAAGGCTGCCATAATTTAGCAATTTTTAATTTTTATATAGAAAAATTATATAAAAATTTATAATAAAATTAAATTAAATTAAATTAAAAATCCTCATACATTGTATAATAGCAGAACTATTTCAATCATTCTATCTATCATGTACGTAATATTAGATTAACCTATACGTACATATAGGATAGTTTAGATCACTCGAGGATTTATTACGCAATTCTTTTTATCGAGTAGTTGCACAACAATAGAGAAGATTTCCGGATTTACAATATTACTCTTCGATCCATCGTAAAATAACGACAGGGATGTCATATTTATTGTTAACAGTAGAATATTTTACTTTTAAATAAAAAAACTTCTTAAATCTGTAATAAAATGTGATTTTGGATATCAGTTTCATGCTAAATATTATGGCACTAGCGTCATGCATTCTAACAATGGATAAAAATTTATGTACGAACTTGAATTTATGTGTTTCCAATATTTCTATTCTTGTCTCAAGATAATAAATTAATCTTCTTTAATTCAAGGAAACAGAAAATTATTGATCCATTCTTAATATTGTTTTATTTTTATACTGCATAAAGTTACGATAAGATCAAGAATATTTTTCGTTTTCTTATCAGGAAACCTTTCTGCGAAGAGAATAACAGATAACATTAACTGTATAATGAAAAATAACGATAATAAAAAAACAAAGCTCGGTAATAACCGGATCAATTACCTGGATCTAACGAGATGATACCGGTCGAGCTTCTCGCTGATCGGCTCGCGACGATGGTGCGACTTTTGATGGAATTGGTGACCCTGATTAGTGCGCTGCCCGCTGCAACTCAGGCAACGGCGAGCTCCTTGCCAAACAATCAGCATCACTGCAAAATACAATAATAATAATAATTAATCATAACAATTTATTGTGTCCATATATAATGTACTCAAATAGCAAGTAACGTTAAATAATATCTTTATATAGCGTCTTTAACATCAATAAGAAATAATGAAAACATCTTGTTACTTGAACAAATAATAACAAGATAATCATATCAAACATATACAAGTAATGAAGATCCAACTAACAAATTAATGCCAATGAGAGCCGTTACAGGTTGTTTGTGTGAATTATTATCATTTATTTAAATATATAGTATATTATATGGGACATTCCATCCCAAGTGTGCCACTCAAAAACTTTTGAATTTTTGATTTGGCTGAAATTTTGATACATTACAGTACCCATCGCAACAAGCTACCATGATTTTTTTTTGAATTTTTTTATCAACATAGTCATGAGATATGAATTTTTTTAAAACTCATATTTTTCAAAATTCACAATTTTCAAATGCCTATTACTTTGCGAAAAATAATCCAAATAAAATATTTTTTTTTAAATTGTGTTTTTCCTCTAGTTTAAAAAAAAAATATCAAAAAAAGTTTCAAAATTGTTTTTTAATTTTTTTTTAAGAATTAAGCTTGTATGTACAATTACAATTACTAAAGTAATTGTACATACAAGCTTAATTCTTGCATGCAGAAGTGTAACCGTATTCTTACAAATAAGATTGGACAATAATAACAATTTATAAAAATGAAAAATGATATTGTAAAAAAATTCATAATAAGAAAACGATAATTTTAGTATAAAAGTAATATCAATCACGGAAACACTTTTTTTTAAATAGGTAAATATAAAAAAATAAGTTATTACATTGTAAATAAACCGAAAATTTTAGGAAATGAAAACGTCACGAGTTTATATCTATATATTATTTTATCGTGTAAAAAAAATGCAAAATTAAAAAAAAATTAATTCGAAAAAAATAGAAGGAAAAATTTGCCCACGATCAAATTAGTCTTAAAAATCATCAAATAAATCTAAGTTTTTATGAGAATTTAAAAAATAAATTAAACATGTCATACTTTAAAAAATTAATAATGTTTTACATTAAATTAAAAAAAAATTGAAAAACAATTTTGAAACTTTTCTTGTGTGATATTTTTTTTGAAAACTAGAGAAAAAACACACAATTAAAAAAAAACAATGATTTAAATAAAGGCCTAATGACGGTCAAGCAAGATTTAGGTTGCTACAGTCGTAATGTGTGAATTTTATTTACCACGTATGTAGTTTCCTTTAATCGCGCGCCGAAATATTTTCAGACTTTTTACAAACGCAACTTCTAAACAACTACCGTAGTAATATCACTAGTTAAATTGACACGCAATCTAACAATATTTGATGATAATTTTTTATAGCATCTTATTGGATCTTAATAATATGTTGAAAGACATATATTAAAATAAAATAAATTAATAGAAGCTCAACAAGTATAAAACAAATTGATTAAAAATAAGAGAAAAGAGCCAATAATTTTTAAAAAAAAATATATAAATGTAATTAACTCAAAATCGCAATACATTAAACAAACAGAGTAAAATTCGCAAGTAAGAATTCGCACATACGTTTCGACACCGATCGGGTCATTTTCAATGTTAAATTTTAAAATTAAGTGTGTATAATAGAATTAACGAATCAACAATAATAAAATTACATGTGTATAATTATAATAAAATTAACGAGTCACAAATATAAAATTAAATGTGTATAATTGAATAATTAACGAGTCGCAAATATAAACTTAAATGTGTATAATTGAATATGGATCTTCCTTTGTGATTAGTTTCGCATGAGTTATATAAATCTATTGACAAAAAAGTATATAAATTTAAAAACTTAATTATGAAGAAGTAAATTGTATATATTACCTTAACAGAAATGTAATAAAAAATGTATAGTCCAG